AAGAATATTAGTAGTTTTAACTCCTTGAAGCCAAAGTACGTCTAATGAGGCCGAAACGGGAGGAAATTATCCCCTTATGCACTGAGAATCATACATAAACACAAAACGAAGAGTTTAATTATTATTAAAACAGGTGGTATATATAGTTACCGCTGGTCTTTAAGGGTTAATACGTCAACGCAGTTTAACATTATATTATTCAACGCCATAAAATACAACATAAGAAACCCACAAGATTGCATAAAACGATGATTCAGTGTGGTAGACTAATGAAAAGATTAAATGGCATACAGACTTAATATGGCCTTTGATATGTGCATTTGACTGCTGGACCCACAGTGAACTTTACAGAAGAGTCTGTCACCGCTCTTTGAAATGTAATTCACTCTCCATGCGAATTACAGTTAATTGTCAATTTCAATTCGAAGTTTCGGTCCCCATCCCTTTAAGCTTTGTCTTCGAGTTCAACATGGCGGAGCTACACATTTTTCTGATCATGTGTCCACGCCTACCGTCTTTTATTTCTCTCCCCCTACAAGTGTGATGTTGCACATGCGCACTACGTGCCACCCCCGCACGCAGATTGTTCACACGTCGATGTAATCCTCATCTTCACCCTCGCCCAAATCTCCAACCCGTCTTTAACCTGGCGCTGAAGTTCTCCTCTTGGATGACAATAAAAGTACAGCGCGCGATGTTAAAACTTTACCCAAAGTCCAGAAACGACGTATTCTTGAAGAAAATGCTTTAATAACGCAAACTACCAACTTAATCTGTAAATTTGATACAGAGATCGATCATTAAGACAAAGTTTTCCAGAAGCAATTTTTGCGGTGTGCATCTTTTAGGCAAGGTCTGACAATAAAGATATCAGAATCTACTCCTACGCTAATGACAATTATGCGCATAAACAAGTAGCAACTTTCTGTTAATATGACTGTCTTCTGAGATGTATCACAGTGTGGTTTGGCAGATACTGACTGACGCTTCACAGGAACAACTTCCTAACAGATACTCGTCGCCGAGAAAACCCCAAATATCAAGTAGCAACGAATCTCCTGTATAAAGACGGAAATTAAATTATACGTTATTCCCAATACTTGTTGAGTGGGAGATATTGCATTACAACATCAGATACGAGACACACTATTTGACAACATCTCGGGAACTCCGCAACCATGCCAATCATTATGGGGTTACGTTAATTAAAGCTACATTTATTTGTGATGTTTCCAGTCCTATCTCCGAAGATGACTGTCTTCTGGGTTGTTGCGCTGTGTAGTCTGGTCGATGTTTACCAACGTTTCGGAGGTCATACTGCCTCTGTCATCAGGGCGGTTCTTAGTATGAAGATTTCTGTCTTCTGGGTTGTTGCGCCGTGTAGTCTGGTCGATGTTAACCAACGTTTCAGAGGTCCTTCCTGCCTCCATCATCAGAACTATGAAACGTCGGTAAACTTCTACCAGACTACACGGCACAACAACACAGAAGACAGCCATATTCAGACTCACAGTCGTGAAAACCTCAAATCCTGCTGTAAAGTTATCCTTTATCTAAGTTTTCCGTAACAATTAAAAGCTGAGAACCGAATCGTTTCTCTTGGTACACAAGTGCCAACAATGCTTACAAATACTGTTGCGCTCAAGAGTTGCATTTTATAGGGAACATTCCGTATAAACTTATTGTGCATTATGGCACAGGCCTAAACACTCCAGATGCCACTCCTATCATTGAACCAATTATTTATTCCTGGTCCCTTAATTTTCTTCGTCATTGTTTCCACAAAACATATCAAAAATGTGGAGCGTGAAGCCTGTATGGTAGAGAGTATACTTCAAAATGTATCGCCTATAGTTAGCGTGAGCACCCATCTCATGGACGTGAAATTTACTATGCTTGGTGCGGTTAGAGCCACTTATGGTGTCGTGCCACTAACTGGGCCCTGGGGAGAGGGGACAGGGCTACTTGCGGTTGTTCGAAAATTTGTATCTTCTTTGAAGCACTTTGCATGATCATATACCTCCCCGGTTCCACAACCACCACAGCTACCATATTGTTTTCTGCTAGAAAATGAATAGGCCAAAGAAACAACACAAACCACAACATATAAGGAAACTATAAATTGTTTAGAAGACATCTGCCAGATCAACATACATTTCTGCGTAAAAAAACACGACTTCCCGTGAAGCTAGAAGAGAAAAAAGAAGTTTTCCACTGTTTTCTTCAGTTGCTTCATCTAAATATAACTGAGTAGAATTTGCCCAATTGAATCAGGCTATGCTATTACGCTAATCACTAGACTACTAACACTCTAGCATGGTATTACAACGCTCTTGACCGTTGCCACTAACAACAGAAGTGAGTATAGATATAATTACAACTAACTGTCTGAAAATGCAAGTAATGTTTATCAAATATAACCCAGTAGATAAAGTCCAACATAGTTTTACTATAATAAATCGATCATTATTACAAACCTTCAGAGATTCGCCCATATTTTAGTGTCGTCTACGAAAATTTTGTAGGCCTATTTGTAAGTTACCAGTGACATAAACAAATCGCCTTATTACTTTCTAAATAAATTACTTACAATCTTTATTATGAATATGATTGTTAATTATGTAAAATGGAAAATTATTTCCAGATTTCAGATTGCTTTTGATTTGTGCTCCCCATATTCCAACGACGTTACAATTTAGTGCGTGTATATTCTTCTTATCGTGGTTTTTCTCTCTACCCCGAAGGTACTGCAGGACTGAAATACCAGATGCTTCCGTACATTATCATAATAGCAACAATTTCCATAAATTAGTTGCCCCTTTCTGCAAATGAAGTAAAATTGGTTCTAATGGGCCTAATAACTTAATACACACCACCAGGATGCATGAATTCAAAGCAGAAATTCGCTAAACGACATCGTCAAGAGACTTGTTAATGTGGACGTAAGTAAATTATAACACACAAGCAATTTTGAAGGAAGGAAACCTTAAATTCTGCTTTCAGGATAAAACAGACTATTTTTCTTCGTTGGTTATCATCTTGAAAATATGCTATAGTGTCATCCTGTTGCCATGACACCCGGTCAAATTACTACTACAAATACTAAAAGTATAACTGAAGTGGCATACATCGAGTAGAGAAGTATAACGAGCTATAATTGGAGGTATTTGATAAAACCTCTGTCCGTCCAAAACTGCAGTAACTTTATTCAAATAACTTAGCCGCTAAAATGAAACCAAAAAGGGAAAATGTGACCGAAGAATAGAAAAATCCTATGGGTTGTTGCACCATGTCATATTTTGGCTGTGTGCCGACGTTTCGGAGGGATATGCTATCTCGATATTTATGGCGCAAGACCAGGAACATGCCCATTTATATTCGCATTATCGCGAAAATGTCAAAACCTACTTAAAAATAGTCACTTTTACACCCGTGGTAATATGCAAGCGTGAACTAAATTTATAACCGACAGAAAATTATGCCGCGGTCCACGGGATAAGAAGTACAGAGCAGAATATCCTACAAAGTAGGACGTAGGACGAATAATTACATCAAATGCTATTAAACGTTGGGGAAACGTTATCCAGGTGAGATTTCAGGTTCTCACAGTTGCTAGTACAGAGATGACTGTCTTCTGAGATCTTAGGTCGTGTAGTCTGGCACAAGTTTTCCGACTTCTCAGACCTGTTCACTGCCTCCGTCAGCAGCGAAATATTCAAGAATACAGTCGTCTTCAATCGCCATGTTCACAACAGCCCGTCACTGGTCTCTATCCTAAGACAGGCGAATCCACTCCATACCGTCATATCTGACATCTCTAAGACCTGACTTCATAGTATATTCTTGCACGCACGAAAATATCTCCAGAATATTATTTTGAACTCAGATTTTCCAACTATAGTTTTATATGCATTTCTCAACTTTCCCAGGTGTGCTACATTTTCTGTTAATTTCATTCCCCTAGATTTGGTCACCCTAATAGTCTCTGGCAAATAGTACAAATTATGAACTTCCTTACTATGATATTCTCTGCACCCTCCCATTACCTCGTCCCTGTTAGATAAAAACTATCCTTCTCATTATCTTGTACTCACGCGCCCTCAAGCTACATTCTTCCCTTAATGTGAGACCAAGCTTTATCCATACAATATATGATTTGAAATTGAAATTTTAATGTTTGCTATTTTAAAAACAATAACGTCGAAACTCGCTGAACTATACGGAAGCAAGCATTCCCCGAGTTTAATCTGGTCTTAATTTCTTCGTGAATATAATTTTGTTTCTCTGCTGTTCATAATTATTTACTCCCAATACCTGGCAAATGATGGGCCACGTTAAGATCTGTCAGTGAAATTGTTTCCCCGTCACAAGTAGCCTAGAGGCCTAGAGAGGATCATCGTTCGGGTGTGGGTAGTAGCTCCTAAATAAAGTGTTACGTAACCTGGCACGATGATCGATAGTTCGAATCGACTTGATTGACATGAATAATTCTCAAATCCCTCTTGTAATAGTAATAACAGTGTGCAGTGACAAGACGAGCTACCTGCTGCTCGATCAATACTTCCATACATAGTCTGCACGCAACACTTCTTACATTGGACCCACCTTCGTGGCGGTTCCAGCTACTTGCTGACGCGTGTAGCATCACATAACCAGTATACGTGTCGCGAAATATATCCGAGCTTATGGTCAGCGATCTGAGGTACAGAGAATGAGAGGCCTATTCCTGTACAAGGCGCGACATCTCAGAAGACAGACATCTTCGTAATTCCTTTTATTCTGTTCCAGCCACCCTTGATTCACTTTGGGATCCCCCTCGTCTTGGCTATATAAATTTTGTAGCAGAAGTCTGACGGAACTGCGGTTCCAGCGTCACAGCCACACGGCAAACCTTCTACACATATCACAACACTACTTCATAACACGTCGTTACAAAGAAACAAGAAGTCCATTGCGTTATAAAATTAAGAGTTCATGGAAAATGCAAAAGAAACAAATACCTCTCAAAAACACAGTGGCTCGTTGTCGTCACAGCGTCATTTTCTGACGTCTCCTGCAGCAACGGCGCCTGAAACACAGATAAGGTCAGGAATTAGTACAAAAACTGTCTCTTCTCCCTACCACACGAAAGGAGGAGCGGGTTTGCTTGGAGACATTCAGTGGAGTTAGCTTTTTTATATTACTATACATTGTGTATAACATGAGTCTAAATGGCGCCAGACGAAGAACTCAAGGGAGTAGAAAGAAGAAGAAGAAGAAGAAGACTATGTAAATTAATTAAATTCCCAGCAGAATGTTTCCTTACTAAAAAGACAAAAATGTTTCGGCGTCTTGTGTTCAGGTAGCGCTGCGGTATCTCCGAAGTCAATCAACCAGTGATCTCTTCCTTGGCTACTCCGTGGGCAGCTCGTGTACGTTTCTGCTTAACTTTCGCAAACTTTTTTCGGGTCTTTTTCGTAAAGAGTCCACGTCCGTCCGTTCTCCCATCCGTCCGCATATTTCATCTTAAAAACCACGCCACAAATTTAAATTAAATCTGACCTACAGTAAAAGTGGTTTCCGAATTTATTTCTGATGCAACATAAAATAATAATGTTAATGTGACTAATAAATCTGGCGAAAATGTAGCACAGGCTTACCTAAAAAGATTTGGGAATGTCAGAAACAAATCAAAATTCAGTTAGGGATAAACTAACAGTTGACTAAATTCGAGGAATGCTTGTTTATATTCAGTTCAGAATCTTCTCTCTTCCCGCCCCCTATCTAACAACACTGCAAATGTGTACTCTTTGGAATACACTAATTGCCACGCCACATGTAGGTCGTTGTTGATCTGAGGGTCATTCGAAAGAATCCGTCAAAGTCAGAGGTTCTAACGTTTCGTAACTTTACTAGTTAGTTACAATGGCAAACTGTTAGCTCCCGTTGGTCATGAAGTTGGAAACCAACCCTTGTAAGATGTGAGCGCTGTGTTCACACTACTTAAAACCAACACTCAAACTAACTCTTCTACGAACCAGACAGAATTCTTGTTTTCCGAAACAATCCAAACGCAGCAGATCGGATGTGAAATTTCAAGTATCCACGATGTTGAAATTTCCGATGTTGTTCTGTGTTATGACGCCGTTGGTCATCAGGGCTAAAAATTAAGACATTATTTAACTCCACGATTAATTTGGACAATATTCGTCTTGGTTATTTATTCCAGTGATAGAGACTAGCTCGATCTAAGGGCTCCAGCAGAGTAGACACCCTTCTCTCATACCTTCGGATGGGCTGTAGCTGTATCCTTTTACTTATAATCAATAAACCTCGACCCTAATGTCGAACTAGCAGTGAGCGGATAACAGACCTATGTGCCTAGGCTTATATCACAGTGTATTACAACAAATAATTTTTAGGGATTTCTCATGGATTTCCAGGAAAATGTTATAACAGTACCATAAGTCAGGCCTTGGCAGCTTCCTTCCACATACTTTCTAATTCAATATTTATTAAACATCCTCTCATTCGACGTTGTAGAGTCTGAGCTACTGACAGCGTGGTTGAATTAACCGCAAATAAATTTGAACCAGATGCTGGTAGATCAGGTGGATGGATTCAGAGAGGAAAATTTTTACAAATTTTAGATTCTGCCCAGTTAAATGGAGTGGCTTTTGGAAAGTTCACGTAGTTAACCGCGGTTTTCCATCAGCTAAATTTTATACTAAGGTACACAAAATTAATAGTGAACTCGCATGATCGGTTCTGATATCGAAACATAAACTTCATAATTATGATACAGACTAGTCGATCAGTAAGGCATACAAATATCGAATTAACCACATTATTATGAAGTCATGCAGAGTTTTGGTGAGAAATTTGCAGGGAAACTGAACCAATTCGACCTGTGGTTAGTCTGTTACACAGCAAGCCCCTGTTCTCCAACCCGCAGAAATCTTTTGCTTAAAATCACAACTCTTGGTTTGTGTGATTCTATGAATAATTTTAAATTACATTCACTTAGAGGCCCAGGTCTCATGTGTGTATCAGTCAGTCACTATAACAGATTTACATTTCAGGAACAAGCAATAGGACCTATATTAAACAGTCACAAAAAACTCAAACACTGAGATTATAAGTTTTCGTTCTAAACAGGTTCAATGCAACAACACAACCCAGACCAGACCAGAATATAAGACTAGGTGAATACGAGAATATAATTCTGAAGAACTTAAGATAAATATGGACCTGTCAAATTGTTCTTTTAAACTTTATTAATCGTATAAAATATGAAATAATAAAATTACGTTCGAAAGTCTGAGCTTAGCTTAACCAGGGGACCAACAGGCAGTGTTTCTATCCTCTTCCCTTTTGTACCTGAAGATGGAAGCAGAATTCAGCTTCCGGAACGTTGTAACATTATTTTATAATGCAAACTATGGACAATGTGCAAGAGGTTAATTTTACATATTATAATGAATCATCATCAGAAAACGTCAGTCTTAAAAAAATGTGGCTCTACTAGAGTTTAAGGAAGAAAGAGTACGAATATGGCTGTTTTCTGGGATGTTGTGTCGTGTAGTCTAGTAGAAACTGACCGATGTTTCTGAGGCACATACTATCTCCATTGCCAGTGTGATCGCCCTGCATCGATGGAAACTAAAGTGCCATATCAGTCCACACAACGTCGTTAAATAACCTAAAACTCATCAGTCTACTCACCCTACCCACTGGAATAACTTATTTTTTCACATTAATAAATAGGGCTGTATCTAGTACATAGACAGTTTTAATGTTTATTCTCAATATCGAAGCCAGCAGATTTAAGTTTCACTTGGTTCGCTCTTGCAATAATGTTGCCCACTACATACATATAATAGAGTTATTACTCGGATCCAAATGGTAAATATGTATTACAATCTTACACCTACAATAAAAATTGCTTCTCGTCTAAAATCATCTATTCGTTTCTCCACATCTCAGTGTTTCTTTACAAATATCCCCTCATATCCTCTTCGTACCCCCCTAACCTATCCTTCGTCTCAATCAGATAAAAACAACGATTTTCTTTAAAAAAAAGAACCAAAATGGAATGGAACTACCTTGTCGGTATCTTCTATTCCTTATTGAAGAACAAACGTTTTTCAAAAACTATGGTTGTCGCCGCTAGTGGTTTGACACTTGATTAACGAGCGCATTCCGTATTGCAACTGTTTTTGTCTCTATAGATGGCGCATGGGGCAATGCCTGTCAGTAGATTAGAGGCACAGATTAGAACAGCAAGCGGACTGAGACGGATACAAGCCCGCCGATGTAACATCCGTGTCAAGATTCGAGATTAAAATGTACACTCACACACGTGCAGTCAACTGTCACGAGAGTCTGCAACGGCTTCTCAAACTACCGAGCTTCGTGCAAAGAAACAGAATTCGAAATTTTCACCCTTGCCTGTTGTTTCTTATGGAAGTGAAATGTGGTCTTTTCGTTTCAGGAAACAACTCTGATTACAAGCGTTTAAACATATCCAAGAAAATACTTGGACTTATAGTTTTCTCCACCTCCAGTTATTTTCTCTAAACCTTTCTTCTTCAGCACAATTTTCTCCTGCTGTAATATTTGCTCCTTTATTAGAATGAAAAGCTAGACTTAATACTCACACAAAACAATAGTTAAAACTACAATCCTTTGAGATATAAAAACGTGTAAATATGGAGTCGTGAGATATTCCGGATTTTCAAAGTGGCGAGTATGAAGATGTATTTCTGGGATATTTACCTAAAAAGATTTGGGAATGTCAGAAACAAATCAAAATTCAGTTAGGGATAAACTAACAGTTGACTAAATTCGAGGAATGCTTGTTTATATTCAGTTCAGAATCTTCTCTCTTCCCGCCCCCTATCTAACAACACTGCAAATGTGTACTCTTTGGAATACACTAATTGCCACGCCACATGTAGGTCGTTGTTGATCTGAGGGTCATTCGAAAGAATCCGTCAAAGTCAGAGGTTCTAACGTTTCGTAACTTTACTAGTTAGTTACAATGGCAAACTGTTAGCTCCCGTTGGTCATGAAGTTGGAAACCAACCCTTGTAAGATGTGAGCGCTGTGTTCACACTACTTAAAACCAACACTCAAACTAACTCTTCTACGAACCAGACAGAATTCTTGTTTTCCGAAACAATCCAAACGCAGCAGATCGGATGTGAAATTTCAAGTATCCACGATGTTGAAATTTCCGATGTTGTTCTGTGTTATGACGCCGTTGGTCATCAGGGCTAAAAATTAAGACATTATTTAACTCCACGATTAATTTGGACAATATTCGTCTTGGTTATTTATTCCAGTGATAGAGACTAGCTCGATCTAAGGGCTCCAGCAGAGTAGACACCCTTCTCTCATACCTTCGGATGGGCTGTAGCTGTATCCTTTTACTTATAATCAATAAACCTCGACCCTAATGTCGAACTAGCAGTGAGCGGATAACAGACCTATGTGCCTAGGCTTATATCACAGTGTATTACAACAAATAATTTTTAGGGATTTCTCATGGATTTCCAGGAAAATGTTATAACAGTACCATAAGTCAGGCCTTGGCAGCTTCCTTCCACATACTTTCTAATTCAATATTTATTAAACATCCTCTCATTCGACGTTGTAGAGTCTGAGCTACTGACAGCGTGGTTGAATTAACCGCAAATAAATTTGAACCAGATGCTGGTAGATCAGGTGGATGGATTCAGAGAGGAAAATTTTTACAAATTTTAGATTCTGCCCAGTTAAATGGAGTGGCTTTTGGAAAGTTCACGTAGTTAACCGCGGTTTTCCATCAGCTAAATTTTATACTAAGGTACACAAAATTAATAGTGAACTCGCATGATCGGTTCTGATATCGAAACATAAACTTCATAATTATGATACAGACTAGTCGATCAGTAAGGCATACAAATATCGAATTAACCACATTATTATGAAGTCATGCAGAGTTTTGGTGAGAAATTTGCAGGGAAACTGAACCAATTCGACCTGTGGTTAGTCTGTTACACAGCAAGCCCCTGTTCTCCAACCCGCAGAAATCTTTTGCTTAAA